GTTGAAAGTAATGGTTGGAATATCTGAAACAAAGATATATAATATAATATAATAAATGATTGCAGGAAAAGACGAAATTTTGATCTAGACAAGAGGAATGAAACCATTACCATAGCTGGAAAGAGCATCTTAAAATGAGTAAAATTGCAAAGTTTGGTTGCGAAATGTTGTAAAATAAAGAAAATATAGCCCTGTGAAGTTCGCAAATTTTGTATATATTTGCATTACGCGCGGAAAAAATAACCATTTTTGAACCGAAAGAGGTTATTTTTCCCGCTTCCCGCGCGTAATGCAAATATATACAAAATTTGTGAAATTCACAGGGATACATTTTCCTCATTTTACAACAATTCGCAACTGCAAACTTTGGAGTTTTACTCATTCTAAGATGCTCTTTCTAGCTGTGCTGTTGGATATTGTTCTTCTTGCCTTGATCAAAATTTAGTCCATACTGCTGGAATCACCCATTAAGAGGAGAATCTTTTGTATGTTACATGTTCATAAGCTCAAAATTAATGAATATACTTTGCACTAGGTTATGACTACATCCAATCTTTTCAGGCCTTAAAATATCTTTTCCAGGGCCGTCTGACAAAATGTCCGGTGACGTTGAGTTTGGGTCGGACATATGTCCGATGACCTTCAGTTCAGTTTTGACTCGGAAATAAGTCTGAATGACACAAATGAATAAACGGTAAATGTTGTAAAGATATTAAATAATTTGTTTCTTTCATACTTATTTCCAAGCCAAAATCAACTTGCTTGCCAGAACAGCAGTGTTAAAAATGACTTCGACAACATTAAGCCCGTTTTCCACTTCAGCGTTTTGCTCGCCGCCCCGCGCTCGACTACGTTAAAACAACATTTCCAGTTCACCTTTTATACAATAGTACTATGATTTTCCATTTAACATACAAGCCTCTAGTCCTGGGCTAGGGTACATGTTGATTTACGTCGGACAAAGCTACAGTTCGGTCGGACACCAGTACACTCGGGTCGGACAAACAATAAACCCCAGTTTCACTTTGGTCGGACAGAATGTCCGGTGGTTTCCTCTCTACGTCGGACAGTTTCACGAATGGGTCGGACAATGTCCGTGACCGACCGATATTTTAAGGCCTGCTTTTTAATTTTTAAAACATTTCTCAAGCGGCAAACAAACTTAAAAAGTATGCTAAATTGAAGAGATTTTAGATTGTACGCCAAAGAGAAAATTATGTCTGAAGTTCAGTAAGTTTTGTTTATATTGCTGTATAAATATGGCGTCAAATTTTACAGTATTGATAGGGCTGCAAATTACTGTCGGACATCGGACAATGTTCGACTAAATTTGGCAAATGTCCGAGCAAAAGTAATTTTGATCGGACATTGGTCCGATCACAAAAAAATTGTCACATTATACATTTTTTGCTGTGACAA